GTTCAATTTTTGAGGAGCGGGGCTTGGTGGATCATTTTTACTTTCAAAGTAGCTGCTACTCTTTCATTTCTCGCCTACAAGACCCAACGAAAGAAAGCTTGCATGGGAGCTTCAGTGCATGAACAAACGTGCTCTAAGTAGCGGAAAGGCTTCAGGGTTTTTGTAGAGCAAGTAAACTTTATAATGTTTCGNNCCCCAAGGATCTACTTTAGTTCTCCTAGGAACCTGGACAGGTACGTCGCCATACGAAGCAGGATGTATGTCAGGGTTACGGTAAATGCATATAGGCCTTTTTAGCGATAGCATAGCTACACCCGACTTCATATTAAGGGGATCTGGCCTTTATCCAGCAGCAAGAAGCAAAAATGCAGGCTCTGAGCCTCATATAGCGCACAGAATTAGGGTCACCCAGTCGTAAAAAAGTCATAAACCTAAACGCCAATCAAAATCCCAAGTTTTTGCGAGCCTACGCTGACTCCTGCGTGGTGTCACAAGAAGATTTTTCAACTCGACATTGGCCTCAAAAGCTGCTTTTTTGTCAGAGCGCGTAACATTGTACAGTTGTTTAGCAGTGTTTTACTGAGGGCGTGAAAGGGCTTGGTAAGGTTTCTCGAGGGCTTCGTAGAATGCGGTCTGGAGAACTTCGTTCAAGCTACAAGATGACAAGGAAGGCATGTTATTCACTCCATATGCCTTTCGACAGTGTTAAGCAAGTGTCTTAGCGAGAACCCAGTAAGCAGAGCTGAAGTGTCGGAGTACATAGGGTTCAGGGCCCATGGTCTGGGGCTGCTGCCGGAGTTTCATTCAGTCCATCCAGGCCCAGAAATCGAGGCCTCCTTCGAGAGGGCTGGCGAGTTCATCCGTTTGCGGAAACTCCCAGCCTGACCTAGAAATGGGATCTTTTCAGGAGCTGTATACTCTGATACAACGAATCCCTGAAGACCGGAATCCTGAAGCCAAAGCCCTCAGCCAAAAGGCCTACACCCCTTAGCCCTAAACCCTGAAACCCTAAATCCAAAGCCAAAAGAACCCACAAAATAAGAGGAAAAGAAAACACAAAACATGGCGAAAACGAGCAGGAGAATGTCTTGGGGCCTCTGGAGCGCTACCTACTCCGAAGTAGCTCCGATGACTTTAGGGCTGCAGGGGCTTCAGGGCTTAGACTGCTTATTCGGGTTGAGGATTTAGGGCTTCAGGGTTTGGGGCTTAAGCCGGTTTAGGGTTTAGAAACTTCAGGGTTTAGAAGTTTTATGGTTTGAGGGAAGAAGGGGTTTAGGATTCAGGCTGCCGGGTCTTGGAGCTCCGATGCTTTGAGAAAGTGGTTTTGGCAGGTCCATCCTTGCACAATCAATAACTACATACATATGCATATGCATACAATATATATATATATAATTGTTTTGTTGTTTCCATGACAACTAATATTTCTGTTTCACTCTTGAGCCTGTGTTGGGTCTTGTACCTACGCAGCTCATGGAGGGGAACTTCGAGGCTGCTGTCATAGACGTAGTCGAAAGGCTCTTGGTTACTTCTTGTTTCTGGTTGTTTCTTTAAAGTTCTCCAACACAATATTGACAATGCTCCTTACCTTGAATGGCGGATGGGGTGGTGGCAAGGGCGCTAGGTCCAGGATTGTTAACTTGGAGTTGTGGGTTTGAGCTATAGGGTTTGCGGAAATGCTTGCTGTGTTTGAAGGGTTTTTCCAAAGCAACTGACCCTCTTTTGAATCTCTCTTGTAGCCTTCAAAATCCGAGATGCTTTTCCTGTAGACGCCTCATGTTGATACAAGGTGGGGAAATCCTCGAGAGTGTGACACTGGAGCCGCGCACTCGGCGGACCTTCAGAGCTCTAATGCTTTGAAGGGTTCCCGGCTGTTTCCTTGAGGCTGCTGGACGATCCATCGAAGGCTACGACTATCGTTGTCAGCTGTGGGATGGAGCTTTTGGTGGTTGATTAGATTTGATGCTTCGGGTTGGGGTTGTGGTGGAGAATCCGCTTCACGAACGGAGGCA